AGAAGTACTTTTTTCCAGCACGTACTAGAACCAAAATTAATAAGATAATTTCAGCAGGCTCTCAAAAATTAAAGATGACTTTTACACATCAACACATCACACAAACTCTTCTCCTATTTTTCCAAAGCATAATAAAACTCATTCCATAAGAGGATTCTCCAAAATCTCCGTGCACTTGCAGTTCCTGTGTGGAAGCAGGTAAGGTATAGAAGAAAGAAGGGGTAACCGAGAATAAACAGCAAGGGGTCTGGGTGCTCTTTGCAGGCAGGGCAACCCTGTGTCAGGCGCAGAAGTAAGTGGAGTCACATCCACCAGCCCTGGGAATACAGTAAGAGACAGACGGGGGGACAAGTCCACAGCCGAAAGGCCAGACGACCAAGGAGCGAAGGCAGGACAATTTTCCTTCTCTTCACGTGCCAGTCCTTAAAAAAAGGCAAACTGGAACACACTTCACAAAGTAAAACGCTCTAACATGTGGAAATAGAAATCTACAGCCAAGCCTTTCTCTATGTGCAGGTCATTCCGGTTTTATACTACAAAGGTTCGTAGGAAACGAGGCCGTGAGCAGGTGGGACAGGGTGGCGTGTCAGTGCTGAGCCGGGGGGTGGCAGAAGCACTAAGCAGGGAGAAAGAGGATGGAGGGACAGACTCTGGACGGAGAGAATCCACAAGGGGAAGGTAAGAGGGCTGCTGTGGACGTTTACAGAAGCCAGTTAGAAATTCAAACAGCTGACAAGACACAACGGGGAACAGTCTTAGAAGTCTTCAACTTCAGAGATGACAGTTGAAACCTCGGGAATCACGTTCGCAGGAGAAAAAGAAGGAAATTACCATGTGTCACGCAGTGTTTCATATACAACCATTATCTAATTTAATCTGCCGAATTACCTAGCAAAGAAAGATTATCCCCATGTTAGGCTCAAGGAAACTGAGAATCGGGAAAGTTGGAGAACTCGCCCCAAGCGAGGGGCAGAAACAGCAAACAAACACGTAACTGGCAGAATCCCAGCCACGTGTTCTTTGTGCCACACCACTCAGCTAGAAATAACTCAAAGGGAAGAAAAGAGACCTCAGAAAGGCCTCTGGGAAAGATCCAGTCATTTTATTTAATTTAGGCTGGAGTGCCTGAAAAGGAAACATACCTTGTTTCCAGAAGGATTTAAAGACGCTTACACGGGAACACACGAGATAAAATAAAACGTAACATGAATGAATGTGGAAAACATGACAAAGAAACAGTGACAGGAGGGAAGGTCAGATACAGCCAGGGACGAGTCAGTGATAAACTGCAAGCCTTCAGATGCTGCACATCTGGAGGGACCTCAGATTTGCCTGAGTTTTCTACTGAGCAATGAAAAGAAGGAAACATATCAGTTACAGAATTCAGAGTCTATAAAGTAAAAACACATCGTTTGCTGAGAATAAAAACAACTTTTTTCTGATGTCAAGAACGGGGAGAAATTTTACTCCCCATATGCCTACAGAAAAAGAAGTAGCATGCTAAACAACAACAGGCATCACTGAACGAGCACTGACTACCTCCAGGCGCTGTGCTAAGGGCCATGCAAGGCGTCGTCTCATTTAATGCGCGATGGGCTGCACCATTTTCGGGAAGCCCTCCCTGGGCACCCAGCAGCAGCAAGGTGGAGGCTGTCCTCCCAGACGGGGGCCAGCTGAAACACCTGTATGTGCTGTAGGTGGCCGCAGGGAGCAGGACTGACAGCCTCAGAGGAATATTAAGGAGCCCGGCCAGGATGCACGCCTACGCCGGGGCTCCTCTACCCCATGGCAACACCTAGGCCTCTCCTTCAGCAGGGCTTCTAGATCTGCCCAGGGCAGGACCAGGTGGGGCTGTGGTTAGGAGCTCTACTTGCTCCCAGGAAAAACCTACCTACTCGGAGACTTTCCTCTGAACAGTGCCAGTGCTCAATTTTGTAAAGTATTAACCTTGAACAACAAAGATGAGGTCACCAGGAGGAAAATATCTGAGCACAGGCTAAAAAACTCTCAGAAACATGTACCTACCCTGATTATGATTCTAAAACCACAATTCCAAAAACAGTTAAAACTTAGAAGTAAAACATTCACTACGTGGGCAAGTCACATAATGAATAAGCAACTCCAATGTACAATGACCTTCCTTTTTCCTCCCGGGTTGGGTATTTGAATGCAAGCCAAAAACAAACAAACAAAAACAAAACAGTTATATCCAGATCATGGCTGTAGGTTAACACCAATGCATGTGGAACTTACAACTTTTCAGCTTCCAGACATAACAACTTAAGAGCTGTGAGTAACCTCCAAGATGGTCCATCCCATCCAAATGTCAAATTTCTGAAGTAGAAAAACAAATAACGACAAATCCATCACTTCAGTATTTCATGACACCATGGCGAATGGCTGAAGGCCAAACATATTTTTAAGGGGGTCACTAAATGTTATATAACCTGCAGTCTTGGTCAAAAAGACAAGAGAAAAATAAGTCTGCAAATACTTTCAAATAAAGCCTAAGTAACCAAAAATTCTCTCCTTTTTTTGTTTAATGAGTAAAAAAGCTATTTTCCAATCAATTTTAGTAAGAAGCTCAACTTGGATGAGGGGGCCCCAGTGAGAGGGCCCACGCCAGAGTTCACAGTGAGATGAACAATGAAGAATTTGGATTTTCCTGGGGATTAAACAAATGGCAGCCACCACAGCCAGATTGCTCTCATACTACTGCTGGAATATTTAAAACTTAATTTTACCCAGAAAAGAAAACTGGAAAGGAAGAGCCTCAAACCCAGTTCATCTCACCTGTCATGGAATCGCCCAGCTACCCTTCCCCAAGAGCCTGTACCATGCTGCCAGGTGACTCGGATTCTCCGAGGGCCAGCCTGGCCTGCAGCAGCCCTCCCCTTCCCACTTGGCCA